GCCCTCTACCCAGAACCTCTTGAGCTTATACTGACAACATTTTTTAGCAGCAGGACATTGGCAGCTGTGGTTCCCCTGCTTTACCTGTGACAGGTTACGGTGTTAGGTCTATGTTGTGTCATCAGGGTTGAGGGTAGTCTTATATTTAGATAATGGTTGTATGAGATGGTTTGGATAGGGATGGTCCTGTCTCAGGAAGGGGATTGGACTAGATGACCTCTGGAGATCACTTGACTCTGACTTCAGAAATTTGCTGCTGACAAGGTCCTGAAGTACATGACTACAATCCTATTTTGCATGACTACAGGATGCATTCTTCTGCACTTCCAGTGGGCACAGGTATGCAGCTCATGTACCCCCAGAAGCTAATCCCACTTTGCTGTGTGAGGGCACATGGCTTCCATCATTTCAGTGGGCACCACTCAGGTTGATGCCTCTGAAGACAGAGGATTTTTTGTCCTGGAACCTAGATGTCTATGCAGCAAGTGTAAGGCTCCTCCTCCATAAAATAGCCTGGTGGTTTGACCAGTTGCCCAGGACACAAGCAACCTGAATTTTAGGTCCCCCTGGTGTCGGGGTTTGAACCCATACCTCCTGTGTCCCAGCTGTGCCCTCAGCCCCAAACTCTTGAGCAGATATGCCTGCCAGTACCTTCCACCCCATCTCCTCTTGAAGCTGGAGCTCAGGAGGGAAATAGTCATGGAGTTAGCAGAAGAACAAACAAAAAGAGACAAACCATGGCACAGGGAGATATGCCCTGCCTTGGGTTCTGGTCCCCATCCCATCCCCAAAGCTGTTTATGCAATTTATTCCATAACTGTTTAATGCTGAGAGCATCATGGACACTGGAGTTATGCTATGGTAAGTAACAGCACTATCCCATGATTTAGTAAGAGAGGTGGGATCTTTAGTAAAAGGGCCCAGTGGAGATGCATCAATAGCTGCAGTGAGCAAGGTGATGGGAAAATAAATCACTGACCCTTTTGTGCGAGTTTGATGTGTGACAAGCGTGTGATAGAGAGATTCCAGGGTGGAAAATCAGCCAGTGTGCAGTAAGGTGTCCAGCAAGCTGGGCTAGAGGTAAAGGACTACAGGAGACTGAATACTGTATACATGTGAACTTTTAAGAGAAGTCGGGAACCTCAAGATCCGCTTCCACCATCATGCAGGCTTTCTTCTCCCTTCTGCAGACAGGCCTGTCAGGGATTCTGGGCCGTGTCTTCCAACAGGCCTAGCCTGAATGAAGTGGTTGTACAGTGAAGATGGTCACTACAAGGCTTTCCAAACCGTGTAGTCTGGGCATCTATTGCAGCCCCACAGAGAGACTTCCAAGCAGTTCCAAGTTTCTCCCCATGTGAAGAAGCCAGTTCTCTGCTGCCAGTGCTACTCATGCAATGATTTGTAATGAAAACCATCCTAACAAAAATGGCATCTAGGACTCACTCCCCCTCCTGGTACAGCAGCATCCACACAGGCTCTGGCTCCCTTTCTTGTCTTCCTTCTGTCTCCAATATACTTTCTCTCTTGGTTGTCCTGTGACCTCCTCAAAAGAAAGGGGCTTTCAGCCCTACCTGGCCTGTGACCTGCTTGAACCCAAGATCAGGATTCAAATCCCCTCAGGGGACAGGGAGACACCTAGGCTCCCAAGTCCCCCTGTCCTAAAGACTGCTCTAATCAGTAGGCTGCTGGGCAAAAGGTGGGGTGCAAATACATGCATCAGTCTAGTTGTGGCTTTGGGATGAATACAATTTCAGGGTGTTACGCTGCACTTCAGAGTGTCCACAGCAGAGTTAAATTGCAACAGAGCACAAAAAGACTTAGGCACCTCCAAAGCATTGATTTGCTTCCAAACACTCACAGTGGGGACAAAGTTAGTTGCACAGGAAAAAACTGTAGTTGCAATAAAGGCTTTTAGGCATGTATATGTGATTTGGGCTGTTCACAAAGCAAAGTAGAAAGCCATAGTGTTACCTCTCAGCTCCATGTTCTTGGGGAACCCTGACACAGGACGCAGACTGTCTGACTCGCAAAGAATCCCCCCCGCCTCCTCTACCTAAACAAGAACTGATTAAGATGTAGTGGGAGACGCACCTAAAACCCTCCAGATAAGGGTGACAAGAGTAAAACAACTGCCTTAGGTCTCATTTGCATCCGAGATGGAACCAGATGACAACTCATTTACATGGGAGATGGAGAGCAGAAAGCCTGAAGCAGAGACTGCAGCGAATTCTGGAATCAGAAAAGCAGGGGAGCACTGCATGATGGGGAATCTGTGCTCCAAATGCTAATCATCCCATATTTACACACACCCAGCTCAGCATTTATCAGACCAGTTCTAATCTGGATTTACAAAGGACTTCCCCCCCCGCCACACACCAGAACTAAGCAGAAGTAAAGTTTAATAGGCATCTCGGGCCGTACATTCCCCGGTCCCACTACGGGAGGCCTATTTAAACTTGATTGACTAAAACTCGGTTGCCAGGTTAGGGAATGCTGAGGCAAAGAGACGGAGTCAGAGGGGGTATGGGCAACATTTGAACAATGGTAAAGGGTTCATCGCAGTGTCCAGCCCGTTGGAGCCCTGACCACAAGTGTTGTCATACTTTTCCTGGGATGGCTGGTGGAAGTCCTCTCCATAAAAGGTTATGAACACTCCAATAATTGCCTTAAGTCTGTTAAAAGACTATAGTAAGATCTGGAAAAGTCATGCTAAGCTAAGGCTTGTTCACAAC